TTTCACAAGCAACATAGTGATCTTGAAAAATGCCCTACGTGCGGAGAGTCTAGGTGGAAAGAGACAAAGAATGGATCCATAACAGCTCGTAGTAGAATTCCTGAGAAAGTATTGTGGTACTTTCCTCCAATTCCTCGGTTCAAACGTATGTTCCAGTCTCCTAAAACCGCTGAAGATATGACGTGGCATGCAAACCAACGCATTAAAGATGGTAAATTGCGTCATCCTGCTGATGCTCAAGCTTGGGATCACATTGACAAAATGTGGCCTGATTTTAGTCAAGATCCTAGGAATCTGAGGTTAGCTCTTTCAAGTGATGGAGTAAATCCACACAGTTCACTCAGTTCTTCGTATAGTTGTTGGCCTGTTCAGTTAGTCATTTATAATCTCCCCCCTTGGTTGACCATGAAAAGAAAATTCATGATGTTGTCTCTCTTAATTTCTGGTCCTAAACTTCCCGGGAATGATATAGATGTCTACTTAGAACCCCTAATTGATGACCTTAAAACCCTCTGGAATGATGGTGTAGATGTTTTCGACAGTTTTAGAAAGGAGACCTTCAAGTTAAGGGCTATATTGATGTGGACCATAAGCGACTTCCCTGCTTATGGTAATCTGTCTGGCAGCACCGTGAAGGGGTATTATGGTTGCCCTGTTTGTGGGTCGGGTACTCGTTCAATATGGCTGAAATGTAGTAAGAAATGTGTCTATATGAGCCATCGTCGCTTTTTACCAAAAAATCACAGGTTTAGAGATCTGAAGAAAGTCTTCAATAATCAAGTTGAGAAAGAGGGACCTCCAGCAGCCCTCTCTGGTGAAGATGTTCTGAAGTTGGTTGAAGGAATAAATTACAAACGCGGGAAGCGCAAGGACCACAGGCGAAAGAGAAAGCGTGATCACAATGATGGAGACAATAGACTGTTCAAGCGCAAATCAATTTTTTTGATCTACAATATTGGAAACATTTGTTGGTTCGTCATCTATTAGATGTGATGCACATTGAGAAGAATGTGTGTGAAAGCATCTACGGAACGCTTCTTGATCAATCGAGCAAAACGAAAGATGGACCTAGAGCTCGAGATGACCTTGCTCATTTGAACATTAGGAAAAACTTAATTCCTAAAGAGAATTCTAAATCATTGCCTCCAGCACCTTACACCCTGAGCAAAAAAGACAAACAAAAATTTTGTGAAACCATACTGCAAATAAAAGTGCCTGATGGTTATTCCTCTAATCTGAAAAGCATAGTTTCCGATGATGACAGTCACCTTCAAGGTCTTAAATCTCACGACTGTCATACCTTGATGCAACAAATACTTCCCTTGGCCATCCGGAACATGTCAGTGGCAGAAAATGTTACTAATGCGATAACTAGTATGTGCTTATTCTTTAACAGATTATGTGAGAAGGTCCTTGATCCCGATTCACTTGATGATTTAGAAGCCAATCACCACATCACCATGTGCTGTCTTGAACAATATTTTCTGCCATCATTTTTCGATATCATGGTTCATTTGACGGTCCATCTTGTTGCTCAAGTGCGTCTTTGTGGCCCGGTTTTTCTCTGTTGGATGTACCCTTTTGAGAGAAGCATGAAATTCTTAAAAGGGTTTGTCCGCAATCATTACCATCCTGAGGGATGCATTGCCGAATGTTATGTGGTAGAGGAAGCTCTTGAATTTTGTGCTGAGTATATTTCCAACCATGAATCGATCGGATTGCCTACACATTTTGATAAGGATGACCCAATTGAAAGGCCCCTAGGACGTGGGGACACTAAAATAGTTGATTGCTCACTGCTTGAGCAAGCACATCGTACTGTTCTGTTTAATACGCCCGAAGTTCAGCCGTACATAGAGTAAGCTCTCCATTTTTTTATTCCAGTTTTGTTTATTTTGTTTATACTATATAATTTAACTAATTTTGTTTTTTAAAAAAATCGGGAACATATGTTGGAGCTGCGATTGAACTATGATGGTTGTATTGAAACAGAGCATTATTGGATATTTGTTAAGTGGTTTGAAGAGAAGGTTACTCGTTTAAACTTATGGTTAATGATCATATTGAAAATGTTACATATATATACTGAATATTAAGCATATAATTTGTAGGTTCATAATGATGTTGCAAATGGAATTGATGTGGACGAAACTGTCCAGTGGAATTGATATTAACCAAACACAACAGTGACAACATACTCAGGGTACACTGTAAATGGATTTAGTTTTGCTACAAGGGAGCGGGATTTAAGTCGTGTTACACAAAATAGTGGGGTTAGCCTTGTAGCGGACTTGAATTACTATGGCATTCTTACTGAAATTTGGGTCCTTCACTATCTGATGACTAAGAGGGTTGTTTTCAAGTGGGTAGATAATAGGCATGTAGAAGAAGATAAACTGGGCTTCACAATACTTGATCTAAATAAGATAGGTCATAAAAAAGATTGTTTTATATTAGCCGCACATGCCAAACAAGTTTTTTATGTGAAAGATCAACTTCATCCAAGAAAATCAGTGGTTTGTTCGGTTGGTCAGAGGGTTAATCACGTTGCAGACGCTGGATGTGATGAAATGGTTATACATGAGCCCCTAACTTCACATTACCCAACACATATTCTGGATTTAGAAACCCCAGATGATGATGAAATCTATGATAGAGTTATTTGTGATGCGGATTGAAAATCCAATTAGTCAAAATTGGAATGAATTCATTGCTACATTTCAGTAAGTTTTACTCTTACATAATTTTCTGGTTTATTTTATTTCAGTAAGTTTATTTTATTTCAGTTGTGTTTTATTTATGATTTGTAATACAATTTAAATGAAATAACTTTATTTGTATGTATAATCATGTTATTATGTAGGATACAGTTTGATATGAAGAGTCATAATGAAAATATGGACAATGTTGATATGGATGAACTGGATGGGAGACCGCGTAGGCGGGAAAAGACAAAGAAGAAGATGATGTTGAAGAAAAGTGCCGATCATAAAGTTGTGGTGGAAGTTAATGAGTTTGGGGTTTTAGCTGGTAAGGGCTGGACGGAACTGTCAAATTACCTTGGGGTTCTCGTCAGGGACCATGTGCCCATCATATTCAGTGACTGGAGAAGAGTAACGCCTAAGTTGAAAGAGAACATGTGGACGCATATTCAGGTAAGAAACTGAATGCATGTGTGTTGCTATTAACTTTGCCAATTAATTTTTTAGTCTTTAAGTGTTTAACTCTTTCAGTTTTTTTAGTCTTTAAGTGTTTAATTACGAGTAGTGCAAAAATAACGGGTGTCTTTGCATGCTATCTTTTCTTATTCGTACTCATTGTTTCTGTCATTGAACAAAACTTTTTCCATCAAAGTGCATAGTATCCTGTATTTTTGCATGTTGGATTTCCAACAAACTCTACTTTTCATTTGTTTTAATTCATTTCATATTTTCAAGGTGTAGGTGCACTCTTTACTCAAGTTGTTTTGAATGCTATTAAAATGCTAATCCTTCCTATTTTAAAAGTGCAATCAGTTTCCTAAATGTGAGTGCCAAGTTAACTATATTCTTGGGAAGTTGCATTTTTTACTCTTTACTGTACATTTTCTACTTACGGTAAATATCTTTAATGTAAGTCACACCAAATATAAAGTCATAAATTTTTTATTATATATAAATTTAAACCATTTTTAGGAAGCTGCATTACTAACTCCTTACTGTAAGCCTTACATGATTCCTTGTGTCTATATATAAGAGTTTTTACATATTCCTATTTCGAATTATGGCTTTAATTTGATATAACATGAAAATGACTAAATGAGAGCTCATAAATTAAAGTAGATTTGTGTGATTTTATAATTTACAAAAAATACAATCTGCTCTCGTTGTAATTTAATGTTCTTTTGGATGTAGGAGTTGTTTGTGTTGCCCCCTAATTCAGAGAAACATATATTCCAAACAATGGGAGCTGCACTTAAAAATTTTAGGAGCACTTTATACACTCAATTTATTGCACAACACTTGGATGATCTTGAGAAGTTAAGTTTACCTCCAATAGAATATAAGAACATTGGTACCGATGAATGGAGAATATTTGTGAAGAGGTGCTGTAGTGAAGAATTCCAGGTGATAGAACATACTAATGCATGCATTTATTATAAGTAGAAATATTTTTTGTATATGTAATAATTTTGTTAAATGCTTTTAGGAAATAAGCAAAAAAGCAAGTGAAAATCGAAAGAAGAATATATATAACCACCGACTAGGTTCGACAGGTTATGGAGGGTTGCTTATAAAGAAGGTTTGTTCTAATCTTCCATTTTTTTAATTTGGTTGTGTATATCAGTATTTGCTTCATTTACCTTTTTTTTTCAAAACTGAAAGAAAGAAGAACTTGGAATTAATATCAACAACATTGATCGAGCGGATACATGGCTCCTGGGAAGAGAAAGAAAAGATGGTGGATATGATCCCGAGGTTTTGGAAGTTGCAGAAGAAATAGTAAGGGCTGTGATAATTTTATGAATTTGAACATATATCTTTTAGTAATAATCAAGTCTGATTCCCATTGTATTGGGGTCAATCAATTGACTCTTTTTAATGCTCTTTGTAGAACACAAAAGATGGTCTTTGACATAATTTGGTAATGCTCTAGTGATGTTCTGATGTAACTTGTTTGTTTGTGTAGAAGGAGCTGAAAAATAAGGTGGACGACGGATCATTTGTGCCTCGTGGAGACAATGATGTGCTCTCACTTGCTCTTCAGAAAAAACCAAATGGCAGTAGAGTACAGGGTCTGGGGCACTTCATTACCCCAACACAGTACTTTCACACGCCAAGGGCAGCCATAACCGAGAAGGACAAAGTGCAAGAAGTATGTGATAGAAGGTATGCGATGATGTTGCAGAAGTTTGGTGAAATGAAAGATCATGTGTCCAATGCTTTTAGTGAAATTGGTAGCTGCAGCAATGCCAATAAATCTCTGAAAAGGAAGGTAAAGTCATATCTTTAGTAGATATTTTAGCACCTTAATTATTTACACTTTTATCAAAAACTTATAAGACCCAATCGGAGTTTGGGCCTTTTCGGCATTAAAAAATGTTGGTGAACTTATTCTTATCTTCATATCGAGACAACTTATTCTTACACGTTATAAAGAATTTTTAAGCAAAATTCAGAATGTTAGTTGAAGATTTGTTCCGCTTTACATAGAAACTAGGACTATTTTCTTTCATTCTTTATCGGATACCCCTAGATTTTTATGCATCTAGGGGATTTTATGCAGATAAGGCTAATTTTATGATCTCTAAAGCTACTGGGAGAAAAATAACTATGATTTGTTCTTTCGTTTCATTGCTGTCAATATGAACTTACTAGTAACAAATGCCTAAGGTTATTAACACGTATGAAAATCTCTAAGGTTGGTGTAGAGGTTGAACAGTCGGTGTTTAGTCCTATGAAGGAACGCTGCAGTGCTCCTAGAAAATCTCCCAGATTCAAGTCAAAACATAATGAAATGGAGGGTAATAATGAACAACCCGATGGAGAGAGTCGTGGAAGGCAAAAGGTATGTACAACTACATCTTGCAGTGAATTTTTAATTAGATATCATTATTAATAAATAGTTAACTTATATTCTATGATATAGACTGTTGCAGAGGTGGAGAAACCAACATTTACTCATCGGAAGAAGCTATTTGGAAGCGTTCCCAGAAGATCCCCTCAGCACATAAGCAAGGATACTTTAGGACAAGCCAATGCTCACTCCCATGATATGGTTAGACGTCCAGTTAAGTTGCATATTTTTGTTTGATTAAATAGGATAGTTATGTTTGTAAATTACATGCACACTTTGTGCTACATACAGGATATGAATGAAGAGGAAGATAAGTCTCTTGCAGAGCCCAAAAATGGAAAAGAGCAGTCAATAGATCATATGGAAAATGAACGAGTGGAGGGAAAAGAAAAACACGGGTGCGATGTGGTATTTGTGAATGAGAAAAGGACTGGAATGAAAGCTAAGTCCCCACTAAATGTGCAACGAATGACCAGGTCCGTTGCTGAAAAAAGAAAAGAGCAAAGCGCTAACATGATGATGTTTTGCATTTTAGTGGAAAATTGTCTAGGAGAGATGAACAGTATCAAGCAAGATGCTGAAATTTTTGGATTCCAAACAAAATCTATCTTTAACAAGGAGGTTTGTCGCTTGGTTATCAACTTTGAGCAAGTTTCAAATTCAGTTGTTGAAATCTGGGCCAGGTAATAAGTTCCCATTTGGCATATATTAAATTCAGTTGTTTGAAAATCATTGCATTAAAGTATGAAGAAATAATAGTATCCTATTATAGACATCAAAATGAATGTGTGAAAACTAGAATCATGAGTTTGTATAGCCCCTGCTAGTGACTAAGCTTAAAATAGAATCCATACATGTGGTTGGATAATCTGATGGGCCAGCAAAAGAATCATTAGTCCTGCTCTTCACCCAAACTAGCACATGAGTGCTTAAGGCCAACAACAATCCCACAATGGTATAAAGAAACCTATAGTGAGCCCTTCCAACATGGGAGACCCATGTTAAAAGAAAACCAGTTTGAAGGATCACTATTGTAGGCCATAAACATTGGCAGTTTCGTAATTATATATGCATTACCCCTCCAACTTACTAGTATCTTACTTTAATAAGTTCCTACTTGGAATGACTTAATAGGCACTTGCATGAAAAAATGGAGGCTGATGGAGGGGACATGCCAGTTCAGTTTGGCACTTCTGCTGCCATAGCAATACCAAAGAAGGCATCACACCAAGCGATTACAAGAAGGTCACAATATATAGCCGATCTTTTGGATATTTCCTTGCCTGGGCAAATGACTTTAATCCCCTATAATACCGGGTAAGTAATCTGTTTTGCAAACTATTTGTGTCCTGTTTTGTAATCTGTTTCTAAGAGATATTTACATATAGTGACCTTGTTATGTAGGAATCATTGGGTGCTGGTTGCTATCGACATGATGGCTCAAACAGTCTACTACCTAGATTCAATAGGAGGAATTCCAACGAAAGATTTGGAGGAAATAGTGAACCAGTTAAGTTACATAGGCCCTTTAAATGTAAATCTTGATTGCATGTACAGATTATGAAAAAATATTGGATCGGTTGAATTTAATAATGACCGTGTGTTTCCTTTTCAGAGGGGTGACGATTAATCATGCCCAAAAATCTAAGACAAGGTTGAATTTGAAATGGGTGAGAGTAATGGTATGTACATTTTTATATTCATTATCAGTTTTAGTATAAATTTAATTATCTAAGTCGACACTTTATATATGTGTGTAAACTGTATTATACTTGGATTAGTGGTTTCTTGACTGTATAAGGTAACAAACAGAACTGGTGCTTTACTATAACTTGTTCTTTGTTTTTACTAAATCTATGGTTTGTATTTACTGTCTATTTTAATTGAATATATGCAGTGTCCTAAACAAACAGGAGTAGTTGAGTGTGGTTACTTCTTGATGAAGTATATGAAGGACATTGCATGTATCAGACGTGAATCTGTTGAAACGGAATGTGAGCGCAATTGGAACTTTTGATTTTTGTTAATTAAATTATTGTATGTTGTAATAAAGTAAGTGCTAATTAATTTAATTTTATATTGAAGTTCTCTACAATCAAGGAGTATACCGAAGATGATATTTTACGTGTGCGTGAGGAGTGGGCTTTGTATGCTGCTACTTTGATAAAAAAGTAAGTTCACATTTAAAATAAACTGAAAATAAGTTTCATATATATAATATGGTTGTAATATTATATTTTGTTTGATGTGTAGTTTGCAAGCGGATCCTACAAAGGCTTGATGATATGCACGGGGAGATGCATTTCGGATTATATTGTTGATGGTCGGTGTTAATTATGTCATCTATGTAGAATGTAGAGGCAGGCAGCTGGTCACACTTTTGATAACTAAACATTGGTACTTGTTGGGAATGTGACTTCGTTTGTATTTTAGCATCTTCAATGATGCTTGGTAGTAGTTTTTTTGCTGGATTCTATAGCCGCTTTTTTTGCAAGAATTGTATGGCTATTTTTTTTTTTGCGGGAATGTTGCTGGAATTTTGCTACATCTTTTATCCAGTGGTAGGAAATGTAAATGAACAAGAATATGAAGTTGTTACTGAATATTTTACTGAATATTTTTTCTTAAATGTATGTGTTTGGGTATCCACTAATTTTTGGAAGCTATATTTATTTATGAATAAAATAAATTAAATTAGATTTCTACTCAATATGCATAAAATCTATGATGCTGAAGTGTCACTAAATGTTGTGATGAATTAGTATCACAATTTGTTCTGATGTATAAACGTCGCTATCTTAAATGATACATTAGTGTCATAAAAATCTATGATGCTGAAGTGTCACTAAATTTTGTGACAAATTAGTATCACAATTTGTCCTGATGTAAAAATGTCACTTTCTTAGACGACACATTAGTGTCATAATTCGTTGACACAAAAACGTTCCCGTATTAGTGACACTTTATTTAGTGTCACTGGCTGACACTTTTCCCGACGTTTTTTTAGTGTCACAGAAAGTTTTTGTGACACTAAATTAGTGTCACTATAGGCTATTTTTCTACTAGTGTTATTTCAGTTAATTGGTTTAAGTAGTTTGAGACTACTTTGAGTCACTGCCTCAATATTCCTTGAGTAAATAAAGTAGTTATGATTGGTTTGCTTCTATCCGCCTCTGAATCAAATTAAGCAGCAGTCCATAGACAGAAATTGAGGTTCATTTTAGTTTTATCCCAAATTTTATTCAAGGTGGTAATGATACGAGTATTGATATTTTTGGTATATCGTCCTCTAATTTTTTATCCCTCACCCTTATGTCTACCACTCACTTCCCTTACATTGTGTATGACAGTATGATAGGTAAACTTCATAAATCATAAGCTCATGAAGCTGCACAAATACACTGTCTTTGTTCTTTTGTTTTATTATGGTACCCTTTCTACATTTAATTGTAAAAACAAAAGTATAAAATAATGTATTTCTAAATCTGTTGGTGGTTACTTTATACTTCTTCCGTTCTTTTTTAATTGCAACAGTCCACTTTTCACGCTTGCCAAAGCACAAGTTTAACCGTTAATATCTTCCATTCCTTATTAGTAAAACAATTAGAAAAAACAGATTTTGAAAATTTATTATGAGAGGAATTTAAAAATATTTTTTGAAAATTTAATTCGAAATACAATAATAAACAAAATGTAGTCAAAATAGAATATGTGAATAGTGAAAAAAACCCTACGTTGCAATTAAAAGAGAACGGAGGTAATACTTCGTATGCCCTTCTATAACAAATCAACCACAAAACAAGTGGGCTGATATAGATAACAAACCTCTAATGCATGATAATGTGAGAAAGCACTATTCACACTTATATATACACTTAAACTAAGTCCTCCTTTGATATTTTCTAAATGTGTTATTTGATAAAGTTGTCCTATAAGAAAATGATTCTAAGATCTAAATTATGCATCAAAATACTTTTGTTTTTCAACCTCTTTTGCTGACAAATAGCTAATATGCTTTAGAATATAAACTTTTTTTTTTGAAAATATTAGAATATAAACTTATTCTTATGGATGAGCAGACTTTTGAGCAGCACTTTAACCGTAATTTTGCTCCATCTTTTATTAATTTATTTTGCAGTTTACTTTAGTTATGTTATTTTTACAAGAGTTACTTTTACACCATGCACTTTAACCGTAGTTTTGCTCCATCTTTTATTAATTTATTTTGCAGTTTACTTTAGTTATGTTATTTTTACAAGAGTTACTTTTACACCATGCACTTTAATGGGAAAGTTCCCGAAATAGGACTAAAACAGTTTGAAAATTCCACAATAAGACTGCCATGTTTTTTATTCCCAAAATAGAAGTAATTACTGCCAAGTTTGGAAAATACTGCCATGTTTGAAGTCTGGTACTGCCAAAACATGGCAGTAATTAGTCCTATTTTGGAAATAAAAACATGTCAGTCCTATTTTGGAATTTCCAAACCTTTTTAGTCCTATTTTAGGTAAATTCGCCACTTTAACCGTAGTTTTGCTCCATCTTTTATTAATTTATTTTGTAGTTTACTTTAGTTATGTTATTTTTACAAGAGTTACTTTTACACTGTCAAACGTTGGGCTCCTCTTCACTTCTCTATGTAGACAACTTGCACATTAATAGTTAGCTATTATGATCAATAATGGGAAAAATAATTAAAATACCCTAAACTTTGAAGGGGTGTGACATAAACACCCCAAACTTTCATATGTAATTAAAATACCCCAAACTTTACATAAAAAGTCATTTTAGCACCATGATCCTGTATTATTTATTTCAAAATTTTAAATTTGTGGTGTTGATTGCATAATTTAAAATAGCAAATTGGAAAGGTTTCAATTATATAGAGTGGGGGTGATTTTTTTTATTTTATAATTAAAGTTTAGAATGTTAATTGTATCTACATGAATGCTAAACTATTTTAAATTATGAAATTAACACAAAAAACGAACATTTTTGAAAAAAATAATACAAGATGGTGCTAAAATAACTTTTTATATTAAGTTTGGGGTATTTAAACTACATATTCAAGTTTGGGGTGCTTACCTCACACCATTTCAAAGTTTGGGGTATTTTATTTATTTTTCCCGATCAATAATAAGAGTTCGGACAATCATTGGAAAAAATTGGCATCTTCCTCTGTCAGCCCCTTTTTATGCATCGATAGTTGTATGTTGCATTCTCGAGAGCAACAAGATTATTTTGGTTGAAGTTTGTGATATGTAACCAAGTATGCGTTGAATGTTATATAAAAAGAAGTTTATAGTAATTTGTAGTTTCTTTTAGTAGTTTGGTAGACATATGGGGTCATATTTCATCTTATGATAGTTTATACGTAGTATTAAACTTCGGGGATCTTTTTTTATTTTAAATTTTCTATTAAGGATGTTTGGATTTATTTTAGTCCCAATTCAAATCAGACCAGTTCAGATTTCGATAGTTGTAAAATACAGAAATACTAGACATCTACCATACCAAATCATTTCAGATCAGACTATAAAATTTTAATCTAAATAAAATATTCTATCATGTACTACCTCCGTGCCGTTGAAAGGTTTCAGTCACAAAACGACATGATTATTTAGAAATAATTAAATAAGGTAGTTCGAGTATATTTTGAGAAATAATGTTAATCGGTATATATAATATAATATAGACAAGTGATCGTGTCCAGCAAATTTCTGTCTGAACAGTGTCCGAACATGGTCATTTGGGACACTTCCCGGTGGAATTTTTTGATGAAAGTTTTTTAGCAAGTTCCTCACCAAGTCTAGTTTGTCCATACCAAATTTCAACTCAAAATTCGATCGGGAAGGCAGTCAAATCCTTTTTTTTAAGTTGACTGCGCCAAAATATACATATAAAAACGCAGTCAACTTCAAAAAATGATTTGAATGCCTTCCCGGTCGATTTTTGAGCTGAAATTTGGTGTGGACAAACTAGACTTAGTGAGTAACATGCTCAAACAATTTCATCAAAACATTCCACCAAGAAGGGCCCCAAATGGCCATTTTCGGACGGAGGCTCCTGCCCGAACGTGGGGACCTGAACATTTCCGATATAATATAATGAGGTTAGAGTTGATAACTTTGATATTATAAATGTATTATTTTGAATATTTAATGATTAGTTTGTCATTTCAGATTGTTAATTGTTTCCAAACATGGAAATGTGAATCTTTATATGGGACTTTCAAAAAAGGAAATGGAAACTTTTCTATGGGACGGAGAGAGTATTTATTACGTAGTACTCCGTACCTTTTATATAATTCATCCAAATTTCAATGTAGATAGATACTTCACTCTCGTGCAACGCACGGGTGGAATAACTAGTATAATGCTTAAAGCAACGGTTATTTCCGTCGGAAGTTTACCAAATAGCAAAAAAAAAAAGAACGAATACAACCCAGTTTGGAGGCTTTGACTATTTGTGGTTGGGAGGCTTTGCCGGCAGGCAACCAATTGAGGTTGGGAGACTTCGAAGATGACAAATGATTTCATATTGGGAGGATTTCTTCACATATAAGCAGATATGTATGGATGAGAATGTGGGTAAGGATGAGTCTCGGTAAGCAGCGATTTAATATCCTCCTTGTACTGAGGATCCCGACTCGATCTTGAGGACTGATACGTTTGTAATTTCCGTATGTTTGTTTACATTTTTAGTTAGTTTTGGTTGTTTAATATTTCGGAAATTACACACTTTCGGTGTAATAGTTTAGTTTGTTAAATTCTTGTAAAATGTTTTAGATTAGGTTTATTCTGAGCTCAAACAGGTCTACTATCACTCAAAGGACAGTTGCTGAACCCCAAAAGTGGAAGGAAAGTGCAAAATTACAAGACAAAAGGGAAGATCCTGATTTTTTGTCTATACCCGGTCGAGTATCATCTATACTCGATCGGGTATCTTGTTGAAATTTCAAATCGGATCGGATCCGAAAACAAAGGAACATGCAGGGAAGATTTTGACCACGATCGAGTGTCTATACCCGATCGGGTATACCGACATACTCGATCGGGTATGGCTATAAAATTTACTCTAATTTCGATCGAGTATGGATCGAATTCGAGTTTCTACACATACTCGATCGAGTATCTGTATATACTCGATCGAGTATCTGTATACACTCGATCGAGTACCCGAGCTGCACTCCCAAAAAGCTTATAAATACACCCCCTTTCCTTCACAATAGGATACCAATCCCTTCTTTCATACTCTTAAGCTCAGTTTACAATAGTATTTCTTTTATATTTTTATAGCATGTTTAGTCTCCAAATGAGGAGCTAAACTTCCATTTCTTGGTATTGCTCTTGAAGCTTGTTGATTATTAAAGTTGTGAGTTATTTTCTTAACTTCTTCCCTTGAATATTAATTATTCTCTTAATTTATCTATATATTAATGTTGGGGAGTGTTGCTAAGATGACAATTAGTTAACATCTCGACATTAGTTATAGTAGTATTTATTTTCTTCCTCTATATATTAATGTTGGGGAGTGTTACTAAGATGACAATTAGATAACATCTTGACATTAGTTATAGTAGGATTATTCATATTTAATCTTCTTCCTTGAATATTAATTCTTCCCTTAATCTATCTCTATATTAATGTTGGGGAGTGTTGCTAAGATGACAATTAGTTAACATCTCGACATTAATTACTACTAGAAACGATCAACGAACCGATGGTTAATCGTTGATGGTTTCACAAGTAAGTAACTTCGGTTTATTAATGCATGGTCGTGGTTAATAAACATAAGAGGGATTAATTTTGTTGGTTAAACCGAAACCATTGTGTTGAGGTTATCAATCTCAATTGATTTCATCAAGGAGTTAAGAGATTAAATGCTACTATTAAGTCGGTATATGGCGGTGTTCTATACTTGACTAATAGTAAGGCTTATTAATGAACGGTCATTGTTAATAACTACCCTCGATGAATTGGATATACTCCTCGATAGTGTATTCGAGAGGGGACAAGTTACAGATATAACAATGATCGACTAAAATATATCAACAAGTGGAAAGTAGCAATGCCAAGTCCTTTTTATCTTTGAATTAAATCTCATATAAGTCTTTCATCTTAGTATTTAATTAATTAAAATCCAACAATACCAAACCCCCCCCTTTTATTTACTAGTTCATAAAAAGAGAATTATTCCTTTCCCTGTGGATACGAACTCTACTTCACTATACTACGTATTAGTGCTAGTATTGAATTTATTTTGACGCACCGTGACAAAGTGCACGTCAAGGACCCGTCCACTAGCCATTTACTTCCTCCTGTCAGACTAGTCTTCACCCCACTACATGCTCTGAGATGAACTCCAATTTTTTTCCAGCACTAAATCTTCTTCATTATGCAAACAGACAGAATTTTTCAGAGTGACCTATGATTTTGCAGACAAAACAAAAATATGGCAACTTAAAATCCACCCAATTCCCAACACCTCCTTTTTTAAGGGTAGTAGTGCCTTTTTCAGAGGTTTTTCCACATTCATACAGACCCTAACACGCAGGTAAGATTCACATTTCTCACCAAATTGTTTATAATCATAACTAATGAAATTTCCAATAAAATTACGCACCCGTTTGGTTGTACCTAAATTCATCATACTATACGAGACATTATGCACTTGTACCCAAAACTCAGCCTCATTCAAACAAATCTTATGCGGAATATCATTTGGTTTATTTTCTCTCAAGATCAACTGATTCCTCTCAAACTGCCATGGGCCACCATCAAGCACACGCTTCATATCAACACAAGAATATTACAAAATAAAACTTATTTACATAAATATGACTATTCATTACTACAACTTAGTGTTGTGGTAATTTAAGTTCAAAACTTGAACATAAATTACTATGATTTCATTATTACTACTCTAGTAACTAGTCATATTTTTATAAATCATCTTTATTTTGGTCATATTTATGTAATTATTTCAAAAAGTAAAGCGATACCTCTTATCACTAATTAACTTCAATTCTTTGATTGCTACACCCTTTCCCGGCCTCCGCAATGATGCCATAAGATCTTTGAACACAGGAAATTTGATTTTCCTGTCTGTAAGCAAAACACCAACCACCGGATATGTCGACAGAACCTCCTCTGTTGGAACATCATGCAGTTCGCCATCATCCATATCCAGTTCCTCAACGTCCTCGTCGATGTTCATCTTCCTATATTGATCCACAACCTCTTCCATGCAACCGCTCCTCTTCCTCGTTCAAGACCCCTTCGATCACACTTGTGTCCGTAGCAGTCAGACCTGCAACGAAACTCGATTTGCCGGCTGTGATCCTAAACCTCGCCTCCGATCTCCGAACGTCAATCCCCCTTCCTCCAATCACGACGAACCAAAAACGGCCACGGTCCACGAACTCACCCCGACCCCGTCTCTATCTCTTCCTTCAAACACTTCTTGAAACACCGACAGAATTGCCAGCGAAGAAGCACCGCCCCTCGACCAAGATCGATAGCGGACGTACGCCTCTAGCGGTCGAACCCCTGGAGAGACACTAAACAGAGCTCATTCATGAAATTCTAAAATAAAAGCACTGTTATATTTTAAATAGAAGTGAAATAGTGAATTAACTAGACCATACTTTGATAGATCATGAAAATTATATTTCAATTAAAACATGCATCCATTCTTTCAAAAATTAATTGTGAGCGGGTGCGGCAGCCGGAAAGGAGGTTGTATGCTTGCTCTTGCTAATTTTCAATTTCAGTTTCTAGTAAAGGAAAACATCACTCTACAATACATATATTTGCATTACATTACCAATAAATATTTCATCGTGTGAAATGTCCAATTCATATTACTCATTATGTATGTATTAAGCTTAAAATGCGTTCGGAGTAATGCACATGTACAACCTATTACAAGCTTTGAGTGAACAAAGCAATTTCTCATCCATTAAAAAGGTTTCCCAAAATATGTTGACTAAAACTAAAATTTTCTCATTTGACATTTCAGATCTTGCCGATAGTTGTTTGCATCATACTGATAGGATCCCATTTCATCTGATAAAGTCTCACCTAATAGTCTGATATAGTCTAGGAATGAATTCAATTCAAAATATATTAGGTATGAATTGAAATCAACAAGTCCAGCCCTCCACGGCTAAATCTTCTAAAAACAAGATTATTCAACAAAATTCAGTTTTTCCAAGGTAGTGCAGACCCAAAGCCAGAGTCACAGGCCAGGAAGGCTCCAGGATAGCGGAGAGGAGGCAACATTATCTGAAGAGGATAGGACAATCAGCTGTTGAATGGGGAAGCATGTAGAAGAGGAGGTGGACCTGGGATGGATAGGAGCAGCCGAGCAGGTGCAGGCGCATTCCGAGGAGGATGTCATGGGTGTGGACGAATAAAAAAAAACAGGGAAGAGGCGGGCTGGCATACCCAGACCCGCCACTAAAGTTGAAGATGAGGACCTCCTGGCTGATTAGAGTCACTTTTGACTCAAGACTTGTTTTTATCTTTGACCATTTTCCTTTTGAACATGTTTTGCTGTTGTTTGTTTTTGTTTATACTTTTGCTAAGACTCTAGAACATAAAACAGGTGGGGAAGAGCCTAGTTTATTAGTCATTCGCTCAGTTTCGCCCAATTCAGGATCAACGATTCTGGTTGCTTCTTTTGATGTGGCAGATTCTATGTCTGGTTCAAGGGCAGACGGTAGGTATGAGGTTCTTGGTCTTATTGTAACCTGTTTATGTTCTTTCTTATTTATATAAGTCACCTTCATCCAAAAAAAGATTTGGGATTGGATCTATACCAGATTTTCTCCCCTTCTAAATGACTTTTGAAAATAATATCTCTTCAACCATTATCTCTAAAAAGAGATTCCACATTATCAATATTATCATTAAATAAACTCGTGAATTTGGATGTTCTAGAGATTCAAAATTCCTCGTACATACGTTTTATATATTTTCATTTAAGTTAGTGTGCAATTTGAATTTAAGGAGCACGTAACTAAATGAAATTTTGTCAATTGTAAAAAGTAATATACCGGATCACGATACAATATTCAGAGGGTGATCCAAATTACTCCTATAAACAGTTTTTAAAAACTAGGGACAAACTTCTGAAAAACAGATTCTGATGTTGCTTTTGCTTTTAAAAAATAAACGAAAAGAGAATCAATTCAAAACATATCTAGATGTATATTACGAATTTATGGCAATTATACTCAAATCATTATAAATTTACCCTAATCTCCATAAGTGATCCAGCGGGTAAATTAAAATGTGAATAAGTAAATTACATAATTATTCTTATTCTTAAATATGTATATAGCTATTCTAACTTAAGTATTTAAAATTCATGTTTCACATATAAACCTTTCATAGGTTGTCAAATGTGCATGGACTCTTGTACTAGGGCAAGTTACTAATTCTCTCGCTTCTCTCTAGGGCTTCGGCCGCTTGGAGTCTTTTTCCGTCTTCGATTTTAATCGAAGGACGGTCGCTTTTTCCGTCTTCGATTTTATTCGAAGGACGGCCGCTGTTTGTTTGTGCTTCATCTTCGGAGGGCGGATTTGCTATCATGGCTTGAGGAGATCGGCGTTGTGGTCAAGGTTCGAGGATGAGGCGTTGCTGTCGTCGTTGGAGTAGATCGGCGCCGCCTATCCGTATACTCTGGTCGCACGGAGCAAGGATGAGTTTGGTTATATAGAGACGGAGGATTGATGCATGGTTTTTGGCAGCCAAAGGTCACAGAGGATCAATAAGCATGGTACCGGTGGTACGACCTCCTCCTGAACCACCACCATGGGATGTATGAGGTGCTAGAGTTCGTGAACGCTTTTCTTGTAGTTTATATATGTTTGTTTTTTGTTTTCTTGTGTCCACTTGTGTTGTTGGTTTTGACAGTTTGTTCGAGTTTTTTGTCTCTCTTTATGTCATTGGGTATGGTTGGATCTGTGGGAACATGTTTGGCTTTGTCAAGCCCACTACATGGTAATAAGTGATTCGTGTTGCTCTCTCAGGTGTGACCGTCTCAAAGTCTCACTATAGAGTTACAGTCATAATTGTTAGAGTTTCAGTTGGTGTCAATTTTATTTTCTCTTTGCTTGATGTAATGATCTGAATCTTTTGATATGAATAGATGCCCGTTTTGATGATCAAAAATATATATATATATATATATATATATATATATATATATATATATATATATATATATATATATATATATATATAAACCTTTCTTACGCAAAATACTCATGTTGTTATACATATTTCTTTTTTCTTTTTTTATACATACGGAGTATATGGGATCTAAAAATAGTCGAATTCGGAATTAAACATGCCACATCCGGATCATTTTAAAAAGCTGATGACATGATACCCATAAAAATTGAGGATATTGTACGTATCATTCATTTGACCGATCGAAGTCAATATTTTCTCATTTGTTTATATCTAATTTTTTCGATTGTAAAATTATTCCAAGTGGTTATTGTTGACGAGGTTCACTAACTTGAAGGTACTAATGTACCATAGCAGGGTAATATAATGTCATTACAACCTTCGCTCCTAGTTAGGCTCCCGATTACCAGAGTTTTTTCCCGAAATAATGCTAATTAAATAAATAATTCCCAAAATACTGTTGGGTTAAAAATAATTTCCAAAATACTGCTGGGTTAACTGTGGTCAAGCAAAGCCGCAACTTGAAATGGCGATTTTTCTCTACGCAGTACAAGAGCCGCCACTTAAGTGACGGCTTTATTAAAAAAAATCTCGCAAACACACTTACGTACCATGTATGTCAAATTCTAACAATAAATGCAATGGGACCCATCCAAAGTTAAAAAAACCCTGTTTTCTTTGAACTGCTGTAACTTTTTTATTTGTACTCTGATTGTTACAAAAAATTTACCAAAATTCATATTTTTTTGTTATCTTTCATATGACACCAATATTGAATGTATAAAATCAAAAAATAATTTAACACTTTAAAAATTACTACCTGCGGTCTTAAATAAACTTCTCGTACGGTTTACGATGCTTGATTGATGATAAAGCAACTCGATCCCTGCTCACACTCGGATTATTTTTAGTGAATAAAATTTACATATTCAGAAACTACATTAAAACCGCTACAAGACGCCTTCGAGAGAGGTTTTGGTTTGGGATCGTTTTTTGTCATGCACATAATTAATAAACTAAACAAATTAATATATTTTGTTTTTTGTTTTTTTCTATATGAAACATTGCTTGGCAATAAAAGATAACAAAAAATAATAAATAAAAACAATAAAAACAATGTTTCATATAGAAAAAAACAAAATCTATTATTTTGTGTAGTTTATTAATTATGTGCATGACAAAAAACGATCCCCAAACCAAAACCTCTCTCGAAGACGTCTTGTAGCGGTTTTAATGTAATTTCTGAATATGTAAATTTTATTCACTAAAAATAATTCGAGTGTGAGCAGGGATCAATTTGCCTTATCGTCAATCAAGCATCGTAAACCGTACGAGAAGTTTATTTAGGACCGGAGGTAGTAATTTTTAAAGTGTTAAATTATTTTTTGATTTTATATATTCAATATTGGTGTCATATGAAAGATAACAAAAAAATATGAATTTTGGTAAACTTTTTGTAACAATCAGAGTACAAATAAAAAAGTTAAAGCAATTCAAAGAAAACAGGGTTTTTTTAACTTTGGATGGGTCCCATTGCATTTATTGTTAGAATTTGGCATACATGGTACTTAAGTGTGTTTGCGAGATTTTTTTTAATAAAGCCGCCACTTGAAGTGGCGGCTCTTGTACTGCGTAGAAAAAAATCGCCACTTCAAGTGGCGGCTTTCTTTGACCACGGTTAACCCCGCAGTATTTTGGGAATTATTTTTAACCCAACAGTATTTTGGGAATTATTTATTTAATTAGCATTAATTTGGGAAAAAACTCCGATTACCAATCTAATGTAATAATGTCATTACAACAACACCTGAGAATCCTTCAATAAAAGACAGATTCACAGATTCATCGATGGAATGGAAATCAGAATTTCAAATAGCGTGACTCATGAATCATGATCCAAATTAAACCTTGGGATCGGATCATCGAAAGTTTGTAGTCTTTGACTCTTTTCTGCCGCTTCATAATTAATTAAGCATTAAAAGAAAGTATATACATACATCATGGTGCGGTAATTAATTGTACTTATCATTAGGAGAACGGACTACCAATGAACTAATTCAGGACAGACTTTATTGGCCACCGATGATTCGAACTAGCAGGGTGGTTTACAAACTTGCAATTCGGACATGTTGGGGTAGCCTTACAAACCATCACCAACATATGACACTTGTCACACACCGCCGTCACCATCTCCTCCTGATCTCCGTCGTCGAATGTCAACCACGACGGAGACCGGGATAGACTTAAAAAACCCCCACTTCTCTTCTTCCCGCCGGCACCTTCACCGGAAGTGGTAATCGGATCATTGATAATTTTATTATTACAACTAGGGTTTTTGAGAGTAACATTGATCTCCGTGAAATTGTCGCCGACGTGGTGTTGTTCCTCCGATGACCCTCCTCCGCATAATAGGTTTAGTTCCAGGTCCAAACTCGCCGGAGCCGGCAGCTCTTCCGGCGGACTACTTATTCTTGGATCCGTTGTGGTCTTCTCCTTGGTTCTTGTGTTGTAGAAGTATACTTGCCCGGACTGCAATAATAATGACAATAGTATTAGTAAACTTATTCTAATTCAGTTAAATAGAGTTAAATTTGAAAACAAAATAATAACGAATTAAAATCACATAAATATTATCAAATATAGTATGATATGAGACAAATTTAATAGGACGGACAGAAAACAAATGCAACAATTATAGTGGGACAGAGAGGGAGTAATAAAACTCATTAAACCAAAAACACTTTCTTTTAATGGAAAAACAATTGTATTGAAAGATTTTTCTAAAAGTTTTTGAAACGGGATTATAAAAAAAAGGATGACACCCCATCCCTGAGGGCCCCCCAACACCGACCGGACGACACGATGGGAGGATGTAAATTGGACTATAATCACAATCTGACAGATAGAGAGTGAGGTTCTGTCCCCGGTACTTGCAGAAGCCCTATGCATTTTTCAGCATAGTAACCCCTCATCGCAGTTGCCGGGATTCGAACCCGAAACTTAACCCTTGTGGCACTCACTCGCTACCAGTTGAGCTACGCCCACCGGTTTTTGAAACGGGATTATAAAATTTTCCCAATGGTTTTCTTGCTTCATAATTCAAAAACTAACCACATAACAGTTATCATCAACAATCTCATTATATGAAATATTATGTAACCAGCACAATTACTTCTAAAGTTAGCTCGAATTATCATTTTTTACTATTGTACAAATAGTTGTGTCATTTTGCAACGAAAACCTTTGAATGACGTGACGAAGGCAGTACCACGTATTATTGATAATACTTTTATGCATACCTTAATGTCGAGACATCTCTGCCATTCCAAGGGAAGGGGAGCCAAGAGGGGAAGTTCAATTCCAAGAAGAGAATTGATGATTCGGGTTTGTGACCTTTCGGATACTTCTTCTACTAACCTTTTCCTCTTTTTTGGTAAACTCATATCGAAGAAGTCTGGGTTCTGGAGATTTTTGGATCGTCGTCCCAGCAACTGATGAGGTGATAAAGATGAGTGAAATGAAACCATGGCCGATGGGACTTAAATGAATGAAAATAATAATAATAAAAAGAGGCTGGTTTGAATGAATATATATAGCAATAAGCTAAGGGCGGAGTACGTGGAGCAGTGGAAATTGAAGGGAGTGATGATCAGAAAATGGAAAGGTTGGCGGTAGATGGAATTGAAGACTGCCAAAGTGGATCGATCGATCGGAATTTAAAAGGCCAAATTCTTAGTAATTTCATAATGGCTTTGGGGTAGGGGGTGGGGTTAGGGGGTGCAATTAATGGGATGGGGTGGGGAGTAAAAACGGAGGTTACATTAGTTTTAATTTTTCTCAACAGATATATCATTTTAAACGTGCATTTTTAATCAATCATCTTTTGCTCCTGACAGTATCGTAAGCCATTGGCTAACAATTTGATTAATTAATATCATTAGCTAGTTCATGACAAATAAAAAAAAATATCTTTGAAATATAGTTATTCCAACAACTATATTTTTGTGAAAACGTATAAATTAGACAAAAAAGTTTTGCACGGAGTATATGACCACGGTGATGTTTGGATCTAATTCTTAAAACTGCTTCTTTTTCTTCAGAGAGCAGAAGCAGAAGTTGATCGAAGTGTTTGAGTGAAAGTGCAGAAGTGATTCTGGTGCTCTAATTTATTCCTAGAATCAGTTTTTCAGAAGCTGGGGGAGACCAGCTTCTGAAAACTGATTCTGATTCTACTTCTACTAAAAAAAACAGAATCCGTTCCAAACACCCCCTATATTATCGATTAAAACCTAATATATTGAAAAATTCGAAGATGACTAAATAAAAATGAAAAACTTACTAGGATTTTGTATTATACTTAGGCATCAAATAAAATTTTAAAATGGATTTTTATATTATATAATTGTATCACAGTCATATAAAACTCTAACCAGATTCCTTTCGGGTTGAATTTAATAAATTAATTTACAATTCATAATACTGAAATAACCATCCACCATATCCACTATTAAATGTCCCACACCGGAAATGTTTGGATGAATAAAGTGCTATATTAACACATGAGTTACTCCTCCTAACAGGTTGACCTTTTAGGATGGAACCCCGAATCTTAACATGGTATCAGAGCCAAACAATCCATGGTGTGGCCCCCTTATGAAAATTGATGGCACAATCCAGACGATGTGTCTCGTCGTGAGGAGGGGTATTAAATGTCCCACACTGGAAAAGTTTGGATGAATAAAGTGCTATATTAACACGTTACTCCTCCTAACAAGTTGACCTTTTAGAATGGAACCCCGAATCACGGTCCGATCCTCAAAAACCAGTTGGACAAATGAATGGAAATGTTACATTGAGCTGCGCTATAATAACACCATTATTCATAAATGGCGATACATTCACTTGGTGTAAGTTTGGGATCCGGAGCCTCTGCCTTGCTTTAAAGCAAGGCAGGGTGCCTGGCTCTTCCGGGCCGTTCGATTGGGAATTGGACGGCCGAAGATGTTGGGCTCCAACCCTTCGTCGATCTCGAGGTCGTCCTCGTCGCCTCCCTACCGTCGGATGCCGCAAGGCACTGTGCCTTATGGCAGAGGATCCTGATCCGTAAGTTTGATACGATCAACTAAATGGTATTCCCTCAATATAATAAAGTATCGCAATTGGTTTTTCATATAGTTTATGTAAAAAGTTTTCGACATTATAACAATATAATAGTGTATACTTTTATTAAAGTGTACTACTTGAAACCCGTTTGGTAATATGATAATATCAAATCGACTGTATTGGTTGATTCTGGTGAATTTTATGAAATTCCAGTTGAAGTAGCTAGGTTGACTGATTCTGCTGGTTTATGGAAAAGTAAAGAAAAATTTATATGAAAAAAAAGCTAAAATTATCATTTACTGTAACGTCAACCAATACTGCAAGAATATAATTTCAACCTTACATTTTCTTATTGTTACATATTTCAGCTCGCGAAATCAAAAGTTACGTGTTTGGTCGAAAACACAAATACCAATCGGGAGATTAATAGAGTGGGATTAACCCTTCAATTTAATTTGACAGCCATTGTTAACCAATCTATGAGCCCGTTTGGAGAACTCTGTTTTCGGCTTATCAGGCTTATCAGCCAGCTTTTTCACCAAACACGTAACTTTTACTTTCGCGCGCTGAATTGTGTAATAAGCCGAAAAAGTAAGGTTGGAGTTACTTTTCTGGCTGTATTGGCTGAAGTTACTGTAGAGGACCATTTTAGCTATTTTTACATATAATTTTTTCTTTAATTTATTAATAAAATATATTTTTAAAATATTTTTTTCTTAAATCAGCAGAATCAGCCAAAACAGCCACTCCAGCCAGAATATCATAAATTTCAGCAGAATCAGCCAAAACAGCCGATTTTGGTGCTACCAAACAGGCTCTATATCATTCGGGCATGTCCCACAAATTAAATTTGGCGATGGCGTGCTCTTCAAGTGAATTCTTCAAGTAGCAATAACTACTCGTCTCCAACCTGCTATTTAATTTGTATTAAAGCAATACTCGATCTTACTTAATGCTTCTAACAACCGACTCCTCTTCTTCGTCAAATTTCCCACTGTTCCATCAAACCTACCTTCATGCATGCATATCCATTTGCGCGTCTCTCTCTACTTCCTTCATTCTTATTACTCCCAATTTAATTAATTAATTGACTGCACTTCCATCTTATCTTTTAAAATATCTGCGGTTTAATGTTTGTTCGTACACGCATTATTTTTCTACATTAAAAAAAAATTGCAATACGGCGGACAATTCATTTTGAATTTCTACAATTTTTACTCTCTCTATTTAAAAGTATTTGTAAAAAATTAATACTACGTAACACATTTGTAAAATGAAATATTTGATTTTAAAAAAAATAATAAAAATAGTAAAAACAAAAAAAACAAATATGGATGCCTTTCCCACCGCTTCACAGCACCACCACCTCTCATTGGTGAAAAATATGCCATTTTTTTAAATGCCAGGATAAATGATATTATTACTCTTGATAATTCCAAAATTTTCATTGAAACTGTGATAAATATGGCATTATTAATGCATGTTGAAATTTATCTATAATGATCAAAGCTGCTGGTGCTGGGGTGGCAGAGGCGGCGAGGTATTTTATTTTATTTTTTACGGTTTCTTTTTTTTTTTAAATAACATTTTTTTAAATTTCAATTTTATAAATATTTTATTAATTCTTATTATTTTTATGGTTTTTATTATTTTTACGATTTTATTATGAATTAAAACATTTTAAAAGCTACAAAGATATATTTGTAAAAAAACACACATAATTAGTTCTACTAGAGAATTTAAAACAATGTTGTCCTATTTATGATTTTGGCTAATTTTTAGTCCTAGTTAGGTAATACTCTCTTAAACTATTAGATAGATTGATTAAATTGTCTAGAACTCGATCTACATATGTGAAGCGGCACATGTTCTGGAGCGGATTCAAGAATATGAATTGAACTCCAAAGAGAAATAACTATACTACGTTTAAATGTTAGTGCGGTAGGTTAAATGTGAAAAAAGAAAAAACCTAACTACATTAGAAAATTTTGGAAAATGTTAAAGAAAAATAACATGTTTATTACTACGTAATTACTAACGGAGTTTATCAGACAAAAATATGAATAGTTATATTTTTGGACATAAATATGACTACTGGGTGTGTACAAATAATTGAGCAATAGTTAATATAGTCTATTCAGAGTGACAAGACAATAATAGATGACGAGTCATTGGGAAATAATATGTCAATTGTTTTAAAATTTTTAAATTAGTCATATTTTTAACATTTGAATTTAATTTAGTACCACATAATATTCATGCAAAGAAGCCCAAAAGTTATGTTGCGGTGAATCTCACCATAACCCTAATGTACATCTACACGTCTCTGATCTACTCGATCATCTGTTGATATATGTACGTCCTTTCCATTACTGGGAAAGGGGATTTATAAGGCTTTCGAGAAGGTGAATGCAGATCGTGTGCTTGAATTGCGTTGTAGCTCATTGTTAGACCATTTACTTAAAGAAAAAGGACGACTTCCATGACGAAGCACTTGATTAACGGCCGCATAATGCATGATCTATTTACATATATGGAACTTAGTTCGAACCAAATTATGGGGATATAAGTAGTGATTCTGCAAATATGACACATTTTGTTTTAGGCCTTTGTAAAATAGGTAATATGTTTTTCGTCCATGCATGTAAGATGCACTATTTTTCTTATGGTGATCCATATCTAACTCTGAGACCACTCTATTTAGCGAAAAGTTATTGCCGATTGCATAAATGTACTAAAAACTTTTACATTTACCATTTTATAATTTTTTAGGCACAATATGAGAGGTAAAACAATGTAAAATTAAATACTTTTTGAATAACATGACATAGAATGAGAGCAAACCTATTAGTCCGGGTGATTTTGTTACAAAACGGAAGTTGTTATGATCGGTGACGGACTAAAAATAAAAAAACGATTTTTCAGAGACGTAAAACAAAATACACTATGTTTGTAGGGACTAAAAACATATTTAAATTTTGAAAAAAAATAAAATCAACAAATTCAAATTAATAAACAAATATTTGAAAATAAGTAAATTCACTTAAACTAGTTTTTTCAATATTTTCGTGTATGAACAATTGAACATCACCTTTTTACGGTTTTGTATTTATTGACGTGAGTAATTGACATCATATATATAGAAGTGAATGAAAAGTAAACATTTTTTAAATAAAATCATAACCCATAAAGTTAGGCGTAAAAAAATTACACCAACTAAGGTATTTAGCAATGAAATAGATTAATGTGTACATGTGTTGAAAATAATTAGTTAATAAGTGACTTAATGAATAGATCACTTTACATGAATATTCATAATCAGAAAGTAATAATAAGAGGCAATTGTATATGGTGAGACATGATAATAAGGATGTACTCTTCCTTTTTGAAGGATAATCATGTACTTTTAATACTCAGAGATCAGAAAAAGATATTAGAGTGTTTAAAGGAAAGTGAAAAAATACAGATATTAGAGTATTTGAAGGAAAGTACTCCAAAGTTCCAATTACTCATAGAAACAATTTGTAGAAGTTAGTGAAGACTGATATAAATATGCTATTGTTTCTACTTTTTAAAAAGTAGAAGTAGAATCAATCCAAACACTCATATAAATAAAACACTCCATAATATCTTTACGTAAAATACAAATTT